GCGTCCGGCACCTTCCTAAAACTGTAGTTGCGGCGAGGTGTATCTGGCCTTAGAGGTCAGGGTCCGGCTAGCTGAGGAAGGCCGACACCCAGCTGCAATCCTGCCAGCATCCCTCGGCGTCTAAAGGCCTTGGGCTGTGCTGGCTCCGGACGGGTATCGCTGCTGCCAAGACTAGTAGAAAGGAACTGGACACTCTCTGGGGGTAAAGTCGGGTTTATTGGAGATCCCAAGAAGCCAACCAGAGAGTGACCCCAGGGAGTGACCAAGAGAGGAGGGAGAAGCAAGGTTTTAAAGGGGGGAGGCGTCTCAGGGAGGGGTTTAGGACCAATGAGGGAAGACAGGGGAGTGTATGAAACATAACAGATATTAAGGAAAAACCAATAATTACTTTGTAAGGGAGGGGCCCCGGGACCACAGCCAATCATCACCCAGAGTGTGTAGAAGGTTCTGGCAAGTAGGGAGGAGTGTTGTAGTGTGTTGTAATGTCCTGTTTTAGACTTCCGGGTCCCGGGTCCCTTCCCAGGTGTGCCTACATGCCTCTCCCTTCCCTCTTGCCCCCATGCTGAGTGAGTCCTGTCAATCAGGCTTAACTTCCAACAGAATGGCGAGCACATGGCTGGACTCACCTTTTAAGCTCAGGGGGTGGGGAGGGGAGGGGACAGGTGAGCTACCAACCAGGTGGGGAGGGCGGGGTCTCAAGGGGCGAGGGACACCTAGACAGGCCAATGACCTCTGGGCCTGAGGGGCATCCTTTGAATTCGACCAAACATGCGACGCCTTTGCTGAAATGTTAAGCCTGATTGACAGGACTCACTCAGCAAGGGGTGAGGGGGAAGGGGAAGAGAGGTATTGCCACACCTGAGAGGTGACCTGAAAGTTTGAAACACACCGCAACAGAGGAGTGGGGGTGATTGACTGGGCCCAGGGAGGAGGAACCAGGATACATATATGGGAATAAGGGGAGGAGGAATTATATAATTATATAATTTGAGGGACTGACAGAACCAATGGTGGGAGTAACTATGATAACAAAATGAGTGGCAGGGCTATGGCGGGAAAACTGGGGAGGGCAGAACCATTTACATAAAATGGGGGGAGCAATATAGAACATGGGGGAGCAATACAATAAACTTAACATTAATACACTGCAACAGTAGTGGCCTAGTGCCAAATTCTTCTTCATCATTACACTTTGCTCAGAAGTGAGGGAAGTTTCACTCGCAATAAAGAGCTTCTTGATATAAATTGTTGCTTCTGGTTAAACAACTGAGCATTTAAACACAGTCTGGCGATTTCCTTGTGTTTAAGTTTGGCTTTTTGGTTGGTTTGGCTTGGTTTTTTTTTTTTTTGCTCTTTACTAATGAGTTTTCCGTTCAAGTACTGGATGCCATACAAATGTGAAAATAATGATATTTCAGAACACCATGTTATATAAAGGGAAACAAATGGAATAGTTTAATCTATACACCCTAGTATGTAGATCACTGCATGATGGAAACACCCAAGCTGTGAGCAGTATAGTTAAGCCTTGGAAACACTGCAGGATGATCTTTGCAGCAGCCAGCAGCAGTAAAGAGCAATATTATAGAATCAGTTTCACAGAGATAGTGTATTGATCCTGATTCTCAGCTACAGGACAAACAATAAAGGAAAAGGATTCTGACAAGGCTTTGATGCCAGTGATATATTCATAAGGTAAAAAAAATCGGTTCACGTGTACTGGAATTGTGCAAAAGATTTAGGTGGGGCACTTTATTTTAACAAAAAAAAGCATGAAAATTATATCTAAAGAAAGATAAGCTTTCTACTTATTTGTTTAACTTGTTTTTCCACTGGTCTGTTTAACTATGTGGTAAATAAGATAAGCAAAATATTCCTTTGCACTGCTTTCAGAAAAGGGCGGCATTTCCTTACCAACATCATTAAGTAGCACTGTCAAATATATATAATGACAAAGAACTCCTCCATAATTTTTCCTGCAGATCAGAAAAACCCACACTGTGCCATTAAGAAAGACTTCCCTCCAGAAAATTCATAAATGTTCCCTTCTCCCTTTTGCAAATTCATAAATATTAATTTTCTTGACCAAGAAAGGAAACCCTGTCCATTAGCAAAAAATTAGATATTTTAGCTGGAAACTGCTTGCCTTGGAGCTGGAATCTCAGACAGAATTTTCCTTTTGTTCTGAATATGCATTTACTGTCTGAAGGGCAATTTCACTGTCCAGTAGATGGTAGCTTTAAAGAAGCTGCTACACAGTTGGAAGTGATATCTTCCTGTGCCAAAGTTAATATTGGAAAGGTAAATTGTACAATCATGACCTCAAAACAATCCTTTAGGGAGGCATCACACCTTTCTGTGCTGCAGGGTTATTAATTATGTATATGGAGAGTGACAAAAGGCCAAATAAATACAAATCTCTTAGCAAGTAGAAAGACTTTGCAAGCAGTGCAACAATACAATTTTCTACAATCAAAAAGAGGAAAGAGGCACATTGAGAGATTCAAGAAGATCCTCATTAGTAAAAATAATGTGTTATCGACTTAGTATTGCTCAAAAACACCAGACTAATTTTTCTTGCTGAGGAAAAAAGCTATTGGCAGCTTGTCCCACATATGTTTTCTTCTAACTGACACCTTTTAAGTAGTTACATTTGGAATAGAAGGCTCTGTTTTTCCCTTAGCTGGGTCTCTTTCTCTGGCAAGTGGGAAAATAGACAACACTAACTTTCCTTTCCTGGATCAAAAGAAATATGCAAATAAGCCAGAACAGAAAAACATCCTGTTTTGCAATTCTTTCAAGTGGAAGTTTTCAATCACTAACTCTAATTTAGTTTGTCTCTTTGTTATGGTATTGACAGTATTTTGGAAGTTTATTTTCTCTTTCTTACACAGTTGTTCTTTATGTTCTTTATGTTGTTCTATATTATTTCAAAGGAAGTGTACAT